CTTTAATTTTATAATTATCAATATTTTATATTTCTATGGCAATGAATTTATTGTCTATGCCATCTCTTGAATATCAAAAGTATTTTTTTGAAATGTCATTTTTCAAGTATTTAAAGATATTCAAAAGGTGGTGCTGCTATTTAATTCTTAGTCTACTTTATCCTATCTTTAAAGATATGTTTGTTATTCAAGGGATGGTGTTGATGATCAATTCTTATACCATCTTTACTTTTATTCCATTATTTATCATTCTTTTCTTTCAATATATTTCATTTACCATATATCAAAAATGGCACTGATTTCAATAGTTATATTCTAGTGATGTGCTTTCATTATTTGTTTTTTTATTTATACTTATTCTTGGAGGATAAGTATACCGATAGACGAGAATACCGATTGAATACACTTTCATCATTGTTTTTTTTTTTTCAAAACTACATTGTATCTAATTTCGTTTAATATTTTGTAATAATAGATTATTAATTAGGTAAGGATAAATAATATCTGCAAATTTTATGCATTTATACGATTAATTTTATTATCTTCTAATTTATTGATTTAAAATCTTAACAGAATCTATTCAATCCAATGTTTATATACGCTGTAATACATAAATAAAAAATTTTATATCTCCTAAAACACAATCTAAGCTTATCTTTTTTTACAATCAGTCTAGTAAATCGTTAAGAAATGGTAGATTCACGCGAAACTATCGTTGTCAGTATAATTAAAGCCATAGCGCGATAAAGTCGTAACACATACGGGATTTACCTTCACGAATTTACGATATCCGCTTACGCTACGACATCGAAACTGATAAAAGTGGGGACGCGCAAATTATCGGTGCACGAATTTATCGTGCGTCCAGTTATCTCGATCGGCATATCGACAAAGCGTATATCACGATTTCTCTCGATGCGAATCGTCGTTTTCTATCTTCGCAATTACTTTTTATGGGCCAATTCTAACATTCGCCTCCCTTTTTATTTATTCCTTTCGATTTCTTTTTAACGATGCAATTTTTTTTTTTTTTTTTTTTTTTAGAGAAAGAACACGCCATAAGTCGCATCACGATTAATTGATCATCGACGAAACTTTTATAAAATATTTATATATAAATATATCGGCGGCCGCATGTTAGCCATTGAAAAATACGTGCGCATCGGCAAAATAAAAATCATTCCGTTGCCCGTTTCACAATTAATGTACGACTGGTCCATGTGCACGCGATAATATACAATTTTAAATATCGAATTTGACGCTTTGTCATTTCAAGAATTCTTATGATTAATGCACGCGAAAATTTCGAAGCAATGACGAAAACAGCGTGGAAATCTAACGGACGAATGAATCATGACGATGCACAACTCGATAAATCACGGATCTGCTCGCGTTGCGATCTGTGATTTTTCATCCGTTTCAACAGCTCCTTCATACATCGGGAAACGCAAAGAAACATCGTGTCTCGATCTCGCCGAGATTCGATAAATCACGATTCTTACAATTTCGATGGCATAAAATGGTTGAGAAGTGAAGCTTTCTTTTTTTTTTTTTTTTTTTTTTTTTTTTTTTAGAAATTGGCAAAAATTTATTTATTATATAAATTTTATAATCAATTATTCGAAATCGAAATTAATTTTCAACGTTCGAACAATCGTTTTATCATATGTGATGCATTATTTAAATCTTCGTACAGTGGATGATCTAATTATCATGGATTCATCCTTTACGAAGTTATAATAAAATGATTCTTAAAAAAAAAAAAAAAAAAGTATCAATGTTGCACAAAAAAATTGCAATAAAACGATTGATTTTCTAGAATAAATATATGAAACGAGTTAGCATTGAAATATAAATAAATAATAAATCTTATTCCTGAAAGAATATATAATTTTTCATTTAATTTCATTTTTTTTATATTTTTTATACTATTTACATATCTACTACTACTTATGTAAAATGATTAATAAACAAGGGCATTAAAAAAATAAACAAACGTTAATAAAAATTACAAAGATTGGAAGAAAAAATTTGCAATTTAAAAACCAATAAGGAAAAACCAGTTGAAACATCGTAAAAAAGGCAACATTGGTGTCTATACATATACTATTTCAATGATTATTTAACATTTCATTAAATGCAATGGCTTGCTTTCCATTACGAGTGAATGTATTTTTACTCTCACGGTCAGTTTGTCTGTTATTCGTGCATTTGATAGTAATTACTGGACAACCTACATGCACTTACCTTAAACGGCCATCAGAAGTTATGTATGACAACAGTGGTAGTCGACTTTTATGGAAAACAGGTGTTTTTTTTCTTTAAAATCAATTTGAATATTTAACCAAAGAAAAATAGAGCATTATTACTTATTATTACATTCTTTTTTTTACATTCTTGTTTTGGATTTAAGGATAAGATATGTGCAAAAAAAAAAAAAAAAAAACAAATGAATATCCATTCTAAGATTATTTGATAGCAATATACAAAATCTGGATTTAAATTTTCTATTATACAATAGAAAATCATAATGAAAAATCTTTTCCTAATATTGTTTAATCTATATAGTAAAATTTGTTATCATTATCTATCAAAATCTACTAAAAACTTTTTAAAGATTAATCCAACAGAATTCGCAGAATTCAGAATCAGTAGAAACAGAATCAGTAGATAAAAATTTATATATGGGAGTGGAATGAATTCCTTCTTAAAGTACTTTCCATTGAAGTAGAAAAGTAACAACCTTCACACACCTCTTGTATAATTTTACTATTGTACTATTTCACTATTTGAAAGTGGAAATATTGATAAAACTTGCAGAAATTGTAAAGCTTGGTTGGCTATAAAAATATAAACCGATATTATTAAAGAAGTAAAGAACAGACAGTGAAATAATATAAAGATCCATTTAAAGATTACCATCTAAATATCTCTTTCAACTCTATGATGATGCAACTCATAAGATATTAAGATACAAATATATATTGCAAATAAATTTTTGCGTCAAGATCAATTGAACTTGAATAAAAACTTGTATTCGAGTTAGTGTGTTAGCTCTCAAATACACAAATAATAATAGGATCGTTCATTAATGGTATTTTACTGGGGACACGAACTCAGAATATATATTTAAACGCCTGAGTGTGTGTGTGTATATATAGATATATATATATATGTATATGTATATGTATATATGTATATATTTATAATCGCGTTCATCATAAAAGTACAATAATAGCTTTATATCAAATCACGAGGAGAAGTTCAATATTCACACGGTAGGCGCGGACAAGTAGCTCTTAAAAGGTACCGATTTACCGAGGACTCTTTTTTCGTATGTTCTTTGCATATTTTTCTCTCTCTCCCTCTCTTTTCTCTCTTTCTCTCTCTCTTTCTCACACACACATACACACACACATTTTTATATTTTTTTTTTTCTTATTCAAAAAAAGCTTCTCGTGTTATACATCAACGTATGGTCTCTCTTTTTTCTCACTCTCTCTCTCCCTTCCTTTCTCTCTCTCTCTCTCTCTCTCTCTCTCTCTATAATAACAAATAAAACGAACGAAGCTGGAGCAACGCGAAAAATGTATAGCAGAATACTATATATATATATATATATAAACAAATAAAATACATAGACAATGCAGCAATAACAACAGTTACAAAAAAAAAAAAACGCAAATTAGTTGTCTCGTTCACGATGGAATGACTGATACACATGATGATGGATCGTTCGGATAAATCTGAACGGTTCACACGCTTCCTCCACGTGTGTGTTGAAGTCTATTCGTTGCATGGGAACGAAGCTATGCGAACCTATTCTTCTTTTTACAAAGTATATAAATCTTCTTAACCCTCTATTCTTCTTTCTCTCGTTTACAACAAGTTTTGTTCGTTTTTGAACGTTTATTGTTAACTTCTTCTTTTTCTTCTTCTTCTTCTTCTTCTTCTTTTTCTTCTTATTTTTTTTTCTTTCTTTCTTTTTTTCTTCTTCCCCCTTTTGATCAACCAGCTATCCTTCGAATTTTACACAATTATTATCGCCAACAATATCATATTATCTTCGAAGAAACGTTTTGTTACAGTAATCTTTCACGATATTTCGGTCCGTGTATGTATTCAATTCAAACCGATACGATTATTATTTTTCACCATTCAACGCGAATCGAAGATACATATATATATATATATATATAAAAAAAAAAAAAA